GGTAGAGTGCTGTGGCATCACAGCTCACAGCAACCTCAAACTCATGACTCATGGGCTCAAGCTATTCTCTTGCGTCAGCCTCCCAAGTAGCTGGGACTATAGGAGCCCCCAAAATGCCAGGCTAGTATCTTTTTTGGTTTTTTCCATTTTCTATTTTTTTTTTTTTTTTTTTTTAAGTAAAGATAGGGTCTCACTCTTGCTCAGGCTGGTTTCAAACTCCCAAGCTCCAGCAATCTATCCAACTTTGCCTCCCAGAGGGCTAAGATTACAGGTGTGAGCCACCACGCCTGGCCAAGATTTCATTTCTTAATTTAATTTACATGCTGGTTAGACAAATACGTTCATTTTGCAAAACTTAACTGAGCTATATGCGTTGAGTTTTATACCTTACTGTACATGTGTTACATTGGAATCAAAAGTTTGGATATTATTTCTCAAAAGAAGAAAAGGAAACACTTACTGAGGTGTGGAGACACAGAAGGGCAAATGTCAAGTTCTACCTTTTTCACGGATGCTTCTTTAGTCTCTTTAGTTTCTTCTTTCCCCAAAGTTAGGGCCTTATTGAAATTAAACATGAAATCCTTTGCTTTAGGAATCTCTTGAATAACACCCACAAAATAGTTACTGGTGGCCCACCCAACCACCATCACGCATAACGATAAAAGCAACAGTAATCGGAATTTGTAGGAAAGGTGGAAAGTCAGGTTGAAGCCCATGTCTTTTATTATATGAGTAGTATGTATCTTTCTGCTTCACTGCAGGCAAGGAAGCTTCGGGTTAAACTTTTCCAATCTGATTGCAAACTTGATGCCAACTGAAGATGCAATGCCTGCTTTTGCTCAGTAGTTCTGCTCCAACTATCTAAAAGACAATCACAAAAAGACACGTTTCAAATGGAAATCCTGTCCTGAAATGACTTACTTCAACACAAACTGCAAACCTATCCCCAATAGACCTCAAAAAAAGTAAAGTAAGGGAAAAGACAAAAATTCTTCTGCTAGAGAAACATGGTCCTCAACCACAGGGAATGAGTGCTCTATTTTCAATGAGACACTGGCAAAGGCACAGCCCAACAGTGGTGGGGGAGTGTAAGAGCAAGAAACACAAGAGAATTCCAACACAAGAGGGTCAACAATCTGCAAAGAATAACAAGTAGAACTATAGCATACAGTTTAAGATCATGGGTTTGAATTTGGACAGAAACTATAGCTCTGCTGCATAACTTTGGCCAATCATTTACCTAAGCCTCAGTTTCCTTATCTGTAAAATGGGAATAAAAATAACACCTTCCTAGAGAGGTTATTATGAGACTGAAAGGCCTAATGTGCATGTGTATATGCACATATATGTAAACTGTTAGTCCACCTACTGCCCTCTACTAAGCACATATTAAATGGTCACTGTCACTGCTATTATTGCTATAGCCCTTTACACTAAGTGTGTCCAGCGTAGGGATGGCCCACAGAGAGACACACTGATGGCTGCCTAACTCATCACTTTTTTGTACTGTATTTCTCACTGCCGGCTGATAAATCACTATTCTGATTTCACTGTTCAGTAGCATACAATGGGATAATATAAATTTACTTCTCAGAGGTAGCTATGCTCTTAGTTATTAACAAAAATCCAGTTTTTAAGTACATTTAGCTGAGGGCGCACCCTGGGCCATGGTAGATACATGGTGGTGGTGAATGATACTTGGCCAGGGTCTCCTGGGACCCAGCCAGCAACACACCTTATATCCTCAGATTTGAAACATGCTCTCAGAAGAATGCAGAAAATGCTAAACCAAGGACATGGATGATTTCCATAGATAAACATCCTCAATTAAATGGATAAAATAAAGCCCAAAATATTTTCTATGTTAAATAATAACAAAAAAAAACATTTATGATTATATCTTAAGGGACAAAAGAAAAACAGAAAGTAAACTATATAGGTGTGCTGTGATTACAACTAAAGATTCAGAATCAAGAAAAGTCAAAAAAGAAATATACCCAAAAGCTAACAATAATTAGCTTACTAATGGGATTAGCTAGGAGTAGATTACTTTCTCTTTTCTTTTTAGAATTAATAGTTTTATATTATAGTTTATTTTTATATTTATATTATATATTGCATACTCTTACGTTTATATATATTTTACATAGTGTTATAAATATAGTTCTTTTATAATGAAAACAACGTAGAGGTTTTTTTTTAATTTATGTTTTAAATGAGAAGTAGGATGGTAGTAACTATCAAAAAAACAGCAAAAATAATCCTAGCAACTCTCAAGATAGTTTCGTATTTACTAGAGGTGGTATTACAAAACTTTAGTCCTAGGTTACTTTGAAAAAAACCTAAAGGGCTGGGCATAGGCTCACGCCTGTAATCCTAGTACTCTGGGAGGCCCAGGCAAGTGTGGATTGCCTGGAGCTCAAGAGTTCAAAACCAGCCTGAGCAAGAGCAAGACCCCCATCTCTAAAAATAGCTGGGCATTGTGGTGGGTGCCTATAGTCCCAGCTACTTGGGGGCTTGAGCCCAAGAGTTTGAGGTTGCTATAAGCCATGATGCCATGGCATTCTAGCCAGGGTGACAGGGTGAGACTCTGTCTCAAAAATAAATAAATAAAAAGAAACCTAGAAAACATTTCTCTCTAAACATAATGCTGTAAATGGAAATGGAGGTTAGGTTCTAGGGTCAGACCACAAAAGAGAATCTTTGATGCAGGAAGCAATTAAATAGTAAGGCCTGTGTTTAAGGTCCTATGAAGGTAGAACAGAAAGTCTACCCCAAAGACAGTAATAACAGCTAACAGGAAAAGTGATGGGTACAAGTTCTCTGTGCCATGCCCCAGGGTTGAATTCTTGCATTAACTTAATTCTCATCTGATTGATGTAAAAACAAAGATCTAGAGAGATTAAGTAACTTGCCAAGACCCATGACTAGTAAGTGGAAAGGCTAGGGGGGTCAGAGCCCAGGTGGTCAGCTCCAAAAGCTATGGTTCTGCCATGTCCATCACATGGACATTTCCTCTTCTCTCCCCTTGGTGCCAGAGCAGGCCCCAAAGCAACCCTTGAGATATGCAAGTTCCCTTTGGTGGCCTTCTGCTTCTTTCCCGCATCCATCTTGCCTTTCCTTGGGGCCAGCTGTTCAAATGCCTTCCTGGAGGTTTGTTTCATTTCCTCCAGATGACAGTAAGTCATTAAGTTCCTGGACCCAATCAGAAAACCTCGGATAGTTGAAAGAGATAATCACTGAGTGGAAAGAACTAATGATCATAAAATCATTGCAGTGTTAAGAGGACCTTAAAGAACACACACAGAGTTCCCTCATTCTACAGAGTGGGAAGCGTGGCCTACAGAGATTTAAAAACCTACCCAAGGCAAAAGGTATGTGGGAAATCTCTGTACCTTCTGCTCAATTTTGTTGTGAACCTAAAACTGCTTGAAAGGAGACAGTTGACCCTTGAACAACACAGGTTCAAACTTTCAACCAAAAATGGCCATAAAACACAGTACTTGCAACCTCACACATGCAGAAGTCTGACTTTTTCTATATACTGGGTCTACAGGGCCTACTGCAGGACTTGAGTATACACCAATTGGGGAATATAAATGCAGCCAATCCCCCCACTGGGATATATACATGCAGCCAATCCCCACACTGAGGTACATACATGCAGCCAGTCCCCCCACTGGGGTATATACATGCAGCCAGTCCCCCCACTGGGGTATATACATGCAGCCAGTCCCCCCACTGGGGTATAAACATGCAGCCAGTCCCCCCACTGGGGTATATACATGTAACCAATCCCCCCATTGGGGTATATACATGCAGCCAATCCCCCCACTGGGGTATGTATATACATGCCATCAACCCCCCAATTGGAGTATATATGGAGCCAATCTCCCCACTGGGGTATATACAGGCAGCCAATCCCCCCACTGAGGTATATACATGCAGCCAATCCCCTCATTGGGGTATATACATGCCGCCAGTCCCCCCACTGGGGTATATATGCAGACAATCCTTCCATTGGGGTATATATATGCAACCAATCCCCCTGTTGGGGTATATATGGAGTCAATCCCTCCACTGGGGTATATATGTGCAGCCAATCCCCCTGTTGGGGTATGTATGTGCAGCCAATCCCCCCATGTGCCAAGGGACAACTATAATTTAAAAATAAAACCCACCTAAGAAGTAAACAGCTCAGCTGTGAATTATCATAAACTAATGGTACTCAACTGCAACCTATAGAATTTGTTCAAAGATAAGACCATTATCCTACGAGGAGCCACTACTGATGATTACTTAACAATTACACCTTCATTCCTAAACTCACTTCTTGAGATTACATTTGACCCAGTTAAATATCATCACTTCCCCTTTTTCTAAGCCTAAGTGCCCACCCCAAAACTGCCATGGAGAGCTAACATCAAGGAAATATAAGGGTCAAGTTTCCTGTGAGTAAGCATCCAAGGTGTGAAGAGTTGATAACATGGTTTCACCTGTCTTTAATTTTTTTTTTTGGCCAGGGCTGGGTTTGAACCCGCCACCTCCAGCATATGGGGCCAGTACTTTACTCCTTTGAGCCACAGGTTCCGTCCCTCACTTTTTTTTTTGGCAGTTTTTGGCTGGGGCTAGGTTTGAACCTGCCACCTCCGGCATATGGGGCTGGCACCCTACTTCTTTGAGCCACGGGCGCTGCCCTCACCTGTCTTTAAAGAGAGAACAGCTACATGACTCCAGGCAACCATTCTTTGCATATTTCCCCAGCTATAAAATGATTTAAAAAAATACTTATCTTACAAAGTTACTATGAGAATTTCATTAGATGATACACCAACATCCATTGTAATACCTGGTACAATCCAAAGTACAAAATATTGGCTGAGTATCAATGTAATTCACATTCCCATGGTATCAGACCATTCACCAATGTTTTTTACTTTCTCGTAATTTCCACTTTTCTTTCAATGAATACAGAGGGTACAAAAAAATGTATACACTTTTTTAGAAAGGAAAAACTACATTAAAATTGTAATACTCAAGTCACATTTGACTTCAGCAGTTACAAGATACGATATACAAGATAAAAAATGTTATCGGTGGCTCGGTGCCTATAGCTCAGTGGCTAGGGCACCAGCCATATACTCCAGAGCTGGCAGGTTCAAATCTAGCCCAGGCCTGCCAAACAACACTGACAACTCCAACCAAAAAACAGCCAGGCGTTGTGGCAGGCACCTGTAGTCCCAGCTACTTGGAAGGCTGAGGCAAGAGAACTGCTTAAGCCCAAGAGCTTGAGGTTGCTATGAGCTGTGATGCCACAGCGCTCTACCCAGTGCGACATAGTGAGACTCTGTCTCAAAAAAAAAAAAAAAAGTTTTTTGTTTTTTTTTGGTTTTTCCACTTTTATTCCGTTTTTTTCTTTTTTTTTAAATTGGTTTTTTTTTTTTTTGGTACCCTCTGTATATATTACTTCTGTAATTAGAAAAACATAATGACTTATTTTTTAAGAAAGTTAGCTTCAGGGCAAGTACCTCCTAGTTGATGTTTGGGGAAATGCCTTCAGATTGGACCTATTACTAACATTTATATAATCAACTGTGAACGCTCATGACAGTCCCAGACTTATTTTCCTTTCAATCAAAGCTGTCTTGAAGTGACAAAGGAATTATGACTGCAGAGAGCAAATCAAGGCAACATGAAAAAAATTCAGGCTCGGCACCTGTAGAAGAGTGGTTATGGCACCAGCCACAGACACCAATGGTGGCGGGTTAGAGAACTGGCCCAGGCCAGCTACACAACAATAACAACTACAAAAAAAAAAAAAAAGAAAAGCAAAAAAAAGAGAAAGAAAATAATTTAGAGCA